AAAACACAAAGTTATATAAGAAAGGATATGGAATGAGAGTGCAGTTGACCCTTGAACAATGCCGGGATTAGGGATGCCAACTACCCTGCCTTGCACAGTCGAAAATCCATGTATAACTTTTGACTCCCCCCAAACTTAACTACTAATAGCTTACTGTTGACCGGAAGCCTTACCAATGATATAAATGGTCAGTTAACACATATTTTATATGTTATATGTGTTATGTACTATATTCTAATAATAAAGTAAGCCAGAAAGAAGAGAATGTTACTAAGAATATTATAAGGAAGAGAAAATACATCTACAGTACTGTACTGTAGTTATTGAAAAAAATCCACTCACTAGTGGACCCACACAGGGGTGCCTGGGTGGCCTGGGCAACTGACTCTTGACTTCTGCTCAGGTCATGATTCCAGAGTTGTGGGATCAAGCCCCAGGTCGGGCTCTGGGCTAAGCGTGGAGCCTGCTTGGGATTTTCCCTCTTTCTCTCTCTCTCCCTTCCTCTGTTTCCTCCCCCACTCATACTGTCTCTCTCTCTCTAAAATTAAAAAACAAAAAAACAAGGGGACCCATACAGTTCAAACGTGTTGTTCAAAGGTCAACTGTGTATTACTTGATATGCAGTGAAAAAATATACATCATCATAGTAAAGATAATAGTGAATATAGATTTAGTCCCCAGATGAGGTATCATTATATTGGAAGAACAGAATGCAGAAAAGGCAGAATGAGAGAAACCTAAACTCCTGTGCATGATAAACAGCAGTAGAAATATCTGAAAGTGATGAATCAGGAAGTTTTGGGAGAGAGACGCTGGGAGGCCAGAAGAAATGACAGATGGGGTAAGAGTTGACTTAATAGACAACGTGTCAAATTGAAAAATTCAAGGGTTGCTATTTAGAAACATAGAGGTTAATATTAGTAGAAATGACCAAAAAGAGCACTTCTTGCTCCATCTCTCCCACCCTTTATTCTCTCTCCCTGGTACTTATCTTGGGCCAGATTTCTGCTGTTTTTCTATTTATTCTCCCATTAGTGCCATGTAGGGATTTTTATCTTCTCTCTGCCCTGTTCCTTCCTCAGCACATCAGTCTTACTGTTTTTTTCATTCTTTGCTAATTTGGGAGATGAGAAATGATTTCTTGCATTTCTTTGCTTGTTATTGATGGGCTCAAAATTTTTTACATCTTTTCTTGGTGGGGGGCAGGTGCTTTGGAATCCAACTTGGCAAAGTGATAAATGGTATCTCATTTAGTTTCTTTGATGAACAGAAACTGATTTTTGCTACGTCTTTTTTTTTTTTTTTTTTTTTTTTTTTTTTTGTCCATTTGGGCAATCATATGTTATAAACTTTCCCCCATCTTCCTTGGGAATATTTGTCTTTTTCTTATTGAATTATAAAAACTCACATTAGGAGCACCTGGCTGACTCAGTCAGGTGGAGCATACAACTCTTGATCTTGGGGTTGTGAGTTCAAGCCCCACATTGGGTGTAGAGATTACTTAAAAAAAAAACAGTCTTTAAAAAAAACATATGTTTTAAAAAAGCTCATGCTAAAAAGGCTACTAACCTTTCAAACAATACCTATGTTGCACATAGGTATGTATGTACCTACTTTGATATTTGTCATTTAAGGTATGTTTTTCTGCATAGGAGTTTAAATTTTATGGGGTCAAACCTATCAGCCTTTTCCTTTTCAGGGTTTGACTTTCATGTCAATGATGTTTGGTTTGGAAAATCATGAACAACGCAAAAAGCTTTGTGTTGTGTTCAGATTTCAAGAAAAACTGTCAGGAAGAACTTTTTCTTTTTAAATCTGCTGCAGTGGAAAGCAGTTGTAGCACCAAGATCCCACATGTAGCTTTTTCCCTACATGTAGCTTTTTGAAAGCCATGCATCTTTTAGGAAGCATAGTGAGGTTACTGTTAAATTGTTTCATGGCTTATATATGTTTTTAAAATATCCATTAATCTTTGCACTTTTGGATAAGATGCAATTTATACAATGTTCAGACCATAAGCAGAAGAAATCTTACTGTGGAAGAGATGAGAGCAAATGATCCAGCTCCATCGTCATGACAAGAGGCCTCAAGAGTAGTCAAGATGCCATAGCAAAACTATACTGACGTTGAGATTTTTCTTTCACTTTACATAAGAAAGTGACATAAGAGCTCATTAATTAAAAAGCTGATTTTTTCCCTTTTTTAAAGACAGACCCATTTCTGGACTTAGGTTTCCTTTAGAAAAAAGGAGGCCTACATATCTGCTTACACATTAGGAAGGGATTCTCCTGAATCTTTATTGAAACAGTCTTTGATTTCCCTATTCCTTTTCTCACATCACCTCGCTTCTCTTATTTTCTCATCTAAATTGTGTGACTCTGGCAATGATTCACTCCAGATAACTTGCTTATGTAAAGAGGAAACATTAACTGTATACCTGATCTTGAAATCAGGACGGTGAGAATAAGACAGAAAGAGAAAAGAAAGAGGAAACGCAAAGTGGCCAAATTATTTTGTTTCTACAGGCCCAGTCACCTCAAGCCACTGGCTCCATACTCCTGTGACTTCTTCTTCCTGTCGTTCCCCTCCATTCCTCTCCAGAACCAAGAACCACTCACCTTTGTGACATCACTTCTACTGCTAAGCAACAGACCTGGGGCTCTCTTCACCCCCATGAGCCCTGGGAGAACGTTGGACCAAGGTGCTCCAAGAAGGAGGCTTTGCTGCAGAGGGAAGGAGAGAAGGAGGTGGAAAACATGCTGCGGGTTGTCGTGGAGTCAGCCAAGATTAGCCCACCCCTAAGCCCCCCACCCAGACCCTGCGTGTCCATCTACTTCCAAGGTGAGAGCCAGGATGGAGAGAGAGCCCCAAGAGGGAACATGCGTTCAGTGAAAAAATAGACTTATTGGTGCCCTGGTCTATAAAGATGCCCTGTGTGACAGAAAGGTGAGGTAGACACTGTCCAGTTCTTTCAAAACTTATGTTTATTGCTATTATTTCTCCTATTATGACATCTCTGCCTCCCGTTTTTTTTCCGGGGAAATGGCTACAGGGAAAAGAGAAGATTAATACTTCTCAAGCTGCTTCTGTGAACTAGGGCTTGTGCCACAAGCCGAGGCTTAAAAAAAAAAAGTACCTGCTTCATAGGATCGATGTGAGGATTTTAAAAGATAATGTGTACAGCTCTTTGTACAACATCCAGTAATGACCATTCCATCCTATGAGAGCCTTTTCATAAACATAATGATTTTTTCTCCTCACAATGATCCCATGAGGCAAGTTTTATTGTCTCCATTTTTTATAGATAAGGAAAAGTGTCCAAGAAGGTTGGGGGATGAAATGATTTGGGGGAGAATGTGAAGGAGATTAAGTATGTCTGTGTAACACAGAGCTGGGAGCAAAAAAGAAAAAGGCCAGGAGAAATAGTCTGTTGGTGGAAAGTAGGGGGAGGTGGATGCAGGCAAATGAGGTTTCCTAGCACATGTGGGGAGTGAGAAAATTAAGGCCAAGAGAAAGAAGGCACAGTAGTTTCTATAACAGGCATGAGTAAAGAATGAGTTTCCTTAATTTGTTTTTTCTGGGTTGTGAAACCGTCCTCACTGAATGTGACAACACCCCTCAGAGAGTGGACATCTGGGACTCCAGGCTCAAGGGCCATACATGTTGATGTCCCCAGGTACAGGTTCAGAGAGGTGTAGTGGACGTTTAGTGTGTCTTAGCTGTGAGCCAGGGGATAGCCTGATTCGGAGCCTTCTTTCCTACCGCCTCAAAGGCATTATCTTTCTCCTCCCAGAAATACCTCTTACAAAGATGCCTAAATCCCAGACTCCTGGGCTTTCCCACAGATTTACCTACAAATTCTTATAACTGAATGTTTGATATTTTTTATTCCCTTTTAACCTTTCCGAGCCCCTCTTCCCCCATATACCATCCACTACCCTGCACCCCTTCCCACTACCCAGCAAGTGCATGCTTGCACACACACTCTCTCTCCCCCTCTTTCACATTCTTTCCTTGGGAAGGATATCAAGGTAATTTAGCAATTTAGAGGTTCTTTGCAGCACTATAGATTGTTCTTTGTTAAAGATATTTCTGGAGGAAGGGGATTTTAGTGGATGAAGAACTCTCAACCCATTATAGATGTTTCGGCATGACTTAAGGTCCACTAGACTTTGCTCTGGTAACAAACAAACCTTTAAATCTCAGTGCCCTAACACAATAAAAGTTTATCTCTTTTTCACACCAAGTCCTGCATTGATGGGGCAGCAATCCTGAGTGGCTCCTCCAAGCAGGGTTTAGGGACCAGCTGCTTGCTGCTTTTAGCTGCAAAGTCATCCTGGCACCACCCTGCCCATAGATCATGAGGGTGGATGTGAAGAGTGGAGAGAGGAAGAATGTCCTGGGAGATTTTAGGAGCCGATCTTGGCAGTGATGAAAATCATTCCCAAACTGCATTTGCCAGAACGAGTCACGCGGCACCACCTGGCTGCAAGATGACTAGGAACTATGTACAATGGAAGAAAATGAAGCAAACACATTATCTGTCACATGGGATGATGTTACTCTTACAAAAAGTGAGAAATTTTGAAACGCCCAGAGTTAAGAATCAACTTCGTGGCACATCTCCGAATGTAGATTTGAAGTTTTCTTAGAGTCCTACCTCTCTTTACCACACTTGAACCTAGACTTTGAAATATTTCCTACCACCAATGACAGCCTCTTGGTACCTTTGCAGATGTCAAGAGGAGAACTAGTGAAGTGGAAGGGAATAACCCCACATGGAATGAGGTAAAACACATCAGGACAAATCCAAAAGAAGCAGTGACAACCCCAATAGTGAATTTGGGTCCTGGCCATGCTCAGAATTCTAGAGAGAGGACAGGGAGCCTCACAAGCTTTCCCCAAGGCTAGGGCATCTCAGCCTGGGAGGAGCCCCTGAGCCGATATGGCTGTGCAGGCCTGAGGGCCACAGCAGCCACATCTGCCCAGAGCTGTTCTTGGCCCTTCCCCTCCACTCCGGGGTGGACCCACGATATAGCCCATGTTGTCCAACCTGGCCATCCTGATGTTCCCAGAAACCTGAAGCAGAGACCAGGTTCCCTGTGCAGGATCCCTCTCATCTTCCATCCATCCATATCCCCCACCCCCACCCCAGGTCCCCAAACTCCATAACTACTAAGACGCCCATGATATTGCAGTCACACTGCGGAGTCCAGGAAGGATGCTCAGCATTTCGGTGAAAGGTAGCTAATGCCATCCTGTTAAGAAACCAGACTTGAGAGAGGTTCCTCAGTTGAAGACAAACAATGTGCCAGCTCATTCCCTGCATCTTTCCTCCTTTCCTAGAAGGGTGGGAAGGGGAGGGTGGAGGAAAGATGCTGACCTCCCCGTGCCTCCCACAGACGCTAATCTGGCACCTCTGGGACTGCTCCTTGCCAAATGACTCTTGTCTGCAAATCATCCTTCGGGACATGGGCGCAATAAAGAAAGAAAGGTGAGGCAGAGAGAGGCCGGAGGCTGACTCTGTGATCAAAAGCCACAGCACATGCTGCATCTCCTGTCTCTATCCATAGCTCACTCAGGTGGCAAGGATCATACCCATTCCAGCTAATTAATGGGGGAAAAATGGTGGGGGATCTGCGGAAGGGTGGTGAGGCTGGGTATGCAGACTAGAACCAGGACCCTGGGAAACCAGGGGCAGTTCTGTCTCTTCTGAAACCACAGAATCTCAAATCTCTGCTTCTCTCTACCCAACCCTGGCTTCCCATCATGGACACATTCTAGTACCCAGTGGAGACTAACACCCACTGAGACTGGAACTAGGGCATCCCAAGTCAAAATTCCTAGGATGGGGAATCTGATTGGCCAAGCTTCCATCAGGTGTCTACCCCCGGTCCAATCAGCTGTTATGTGGTACTGTTCCCATTCAGGAGGAGTGTGAGAAGGAGCTTCTGGGAAGGGGCTGGGCAGGGCAGAGCCAGTAACTGGGCACCCAGTGCTCAGAGCTCCAAAGTCAATTACCAGAGACGCGAGAGTCCTGCGTCCTCTGGTGGATGCTTCACATCACTGCATTCTTCCTTCAGCCTCTGTGTGGACAACACAGCCTGTAATAGAGAAAACCCTAGATAAAGTCATGCCTGGGACAGAAGACACCCTTTCCCCTTGGCTCGGGATCTTATATGTATTCCTCATCTCCCCAGGTTCGTTGGCCTGGCTACAGTACTGCTCCAGCCCTTGGTGCAAAAACCAAGCAACGTCCTTTTTGTGAAGGACCTGACCCTGCTTAACCATGCCATGATGTCCACAGATGTGAGTTGGGCCTCAGGAATGGTGGCTAGAGGAGTGGGGGGAGCCAGTGAAGCTGGGCTACTCCACTTTAACAGAGGCCCAATGCCTCCACCAGACAGCACTTCGTGCCCTAGGAGGCCCCATCACATTGCCATCATCTCCCTGACCTCCCCATCCTGCCATCCATCTACCCTCTCACCCCTACATCTACCCATTTAGATTGATTAGTCAGTTGTCCATTGGGTGTCAGCCACCGTGTTAAGCCTGGGATGCAAAACTGAATGAAGCCCATGGTCCATTGATACTACTCACAGTGACAAGTGCTCCAGCACAAGGGTCAGGAAGGCTAGGTCACTGAGGTCAGGAGGAAGTGAATGATTCCATGTGAGAGGTAGCAGAAAGCTTTGTAAAAGATGTGATTGAGATAGATGGAGGCAAAGACCAACCAAAGGAGAATAAGCAAAGGCTGTTTATGCAGACCTGGTTATGTATTTTGGCAGAGACTCACATACAGGCAGAGGAGGGGGAAAGCTGTACAGTGGAAACAGGGAAGGCTCTCGGTGTGCCCGAATTGGAGGCTACTGGTGAGGGAAGCTATAAGCGGACCAGCTAGAAGCTGGGCATCCTATGTGATTGGTTAGGGGTATGTATTTGGCTTTCTCTGGTTGGTCCTAGGTGGAAAGAAAGGACAAAAATTAGGGAAGCTATCAGTTATTAATTAGTCAATCAGTTTAATTAGTTAATCAGTCAATTAGTTAATTAATTAATCAGTCCTGGCTATTTGGGGCTAATTGTTACAGGGGTTATTGTTTGGCTTCCTGGACTGGTTGCTAGAGGAGTACTCCGACTTCCTACAAGCCTGACTTAGAAATAGCAGGCTGACTTCCCAGGATGGTTACTGTAGATTTATTGGGTTGGTTTCCTGAATTGATTGCTGCAGATGTGGGTCAGAGTTCCATTTTTATATAAGGTCTGGCCACTGTCCTTTTGTATATTGAGTTTCTCAGTAGGCCCGAGTTTGCCCAATGGACGGGAAAGAAAGACAATGCCAGGCAAGGGTGTAAGGTGCATGTGTGAAGGCTGGAGGGAGACAGAGGCAGACAGCAGGTGCAGGGAGGGTTGGTTGCTGTACTGCTGGCACACGGGAGTTGGGAGGATGTGAAGGGAGTGGTGGGAGAGCTGAGACTAGCTGAGACCAGGGGCCTGAGGTGAAGGGCCTTATGGTCTATGCTGGTGAGTTGTGACTTTACTCTCATCGGTTAGGGCACTTACACAGTGTTTAGGAAGCAATTCTGGCAAAGGTCTAGAGTTTGGATGGGTAGTGAGCACTTGGAGGCAAGAGGTTAATTAAGAGGTACTTGCAGGAGTCCTCACCTGAGGTCAGGAGATGTTGGGCTAGGAGGATTGCTGTTGGCATCAGCAGTTCTGGACTGTCCCAAGGTGCCTCTCCCTCTCCTCCCTACCCCACCGCACCCCCCTTGTCACCACCACTACCATGTGCCTCTTCTATTCTCCACATCCCCTCTGCTATAACCCATTGCTCTCCCCCTACCAGTTGATAACCTCCCTCCACCCCAGACTTCACAGACCCCATGGCGTGGCATGGCCTGGTACCATGGCCATCATCGCTCCCCACAGGGGAACTGGGCATGAATTCAGCCAGGCCAGGTAAGGTTCCAGTGTTATGATGCAGCCAAGGATAGCAGGATCTGGCTTAAAGCTCCCCTGCCTTTGCCTTGCAGTGCACTGTCACTCTACAGGTGGCCCTTATGGGAAACCAGGATATTGAGAAGATAGGTATGTACTTGGGACTTACCCCTACTCTTCTCCAAGCATAGCTGGATGGGCTCTTTGGGACTTTTGAGGCCATCCCTCAAGGCCTACAGAAAGATTATGACCAGGTTAGGGTTTAGAGGCCAGATCTCGAAACACCTAGCTGAGGTTATCTGTCCCCGACCCCCCCAGCCCCGCCAGTATTTCCACTTGACATCTCTAGAGATAAAGCCCAGCCTCCAATGGCTGCAGAGGGAAGCAAGAATAGCCATTTTAAGAGCCCCCCCATGTGTGGAGTGTGGGTCCCAGGATTACTGAGAGTGAGAGAGAGCCTATTTTCTTTTAATTGGTTTTTTTTTTTAACGTTTATTTATTTTTGAGACAGAGAGAGGCAGAGCATGAACGGGGGAGGGTCAGAGAGAGAGGGAGACACAGAATCGGAAGCAGGAGAGCCTATTTTCTGAGGAGGACATGTGCCCCTTTTGAGGCCTCTTGGCCATGGTTTTAGTCAGCACCTAGTCACTAGGGATAGAACAATGAAATGTGGCCATTGCCTCAAAACCTGAGCCCCAGCCTCCGAGAGCCCACCCAGACTGTGTTTCCCCAGGCGATGGCGACCTTCTGGGCATAAGTGCACGAGAAGTGGCTATGCAGAAACTGATGGTCCCCAGCTCCGCCATGTCTAAGCCTCTGTCTTCAAAGCCTCAGCACTTTCAGGTGAGGACCTTCCAGGTTGAAAGCCCTCATGATTCACCTGTCTCACTGCATTCCCAGTTCATCCCCATCTCTCCACAAAGTCATGGCAAAGGGCCAGAGCTACCGGTCTTCTGAATCTTGCTGCACATCTTGCTTCACTGGGTGCCATTCTGAGCCACTTCTGTAGGAAGCTGAAGCTAGAGACAGCTCCAGTGAGGCATAGGAGGCACTGTTGGCTGTACACCAACCAGACCTGGCAAGTCCTAGGGAGGTGAAGCAGAAGGCCTCACCCTGCCCTTCAGGAGGAAACACAAGGCTGGCCATCCTGTGGCCCCATCCCTTTCCATCAGGCTAGTTTGCCCTGGATAGAAGGTCACTGTGCCAAATCACTGCCCTTCCTATGTAGTAGAGGTTAGGGCAAAATTCTGACATGCGGCCTGTTTGCCAAGTTTGGCCCTCTCTTGTCCCTGAGGGACAGTAGCTGTATGTATATCATTCCCTGAAGGGTCCCTGGACTTGATGGAGACACATGAGGCCTCGTGGAGAAAGGCCAATCCATAGCCTGGGCTGGGAGATCCATATGCAATTTACTATCTACAGTAAGATGGCAAGTTTCCATGACTCTGCCCTGCTGGCCACTGCCAACTCCTGTTCTTTCTCCCCTTGGGCCTCAGCCAGCCTGGGTCTTTTCTGGGCTCTGCATTGCTCTTCCTCTCCTTCTTTCTAATCTAGGCTGAGTCCCAGTAAAATATATAAAGGGGAAAGAGAAATAACAAGTCAGAAAGTAAATCACAGATCATTGATTCAATTGCATGGAACTTTAAAATTCGTAATTCCTTAAAAAGATTGTAGACAAAAGTAAAAAAAAAAAAAAAAAAAAAAAAAAAAACACAACAAACTGGGTAAGATTAGACTTCATTCTGTGTTCTGTAACAAGTCCATAGCAATTGAGAAACACTAAGTCTACACAAGATGGAAAGGACAAAGCAGTGGAGGGGACAGTTCCCAGAAAAGGAAACAGAAGGAGCCATAGCCTTCCCAGCACTTGTCTTCAGGCTGGCAGCTCCCTGTGTGTCTTCCTTCTGTCTGCAATAGATGCCTCTCATCAGAACACTTTGTTCTTTAAGAAAAGAGTCTCTGTTGGAAAAGGGGGAGCCCAGGCCCCAACATGAGGTTCCCCTGTGTTCCCCTGTAGGTCCGAGTGAAGGTGTATGAAGCCCGACAGCTCATGGGCAACAACATCAAGCCAGTGGTCAAGGTGGTCATTGGAGGCTACCAGCACAAAACACGGATCAAGATGGGAAACAATGCTTTCTTCAATGAGGTGGGCCGCACATGACCTTCAGAGCTGAACAGGGCACTTGGGCCAAGTGGGCCAGCCAGAGGCTGGGCATTTCAGGCATCAGGCAAGCTTGCATCTTCCACAAACACTGACTGAGCATTGGCCAAGCACTGCTTGGCACTGGAAATACAAATGAAATAATTTGAAGCCTCACACTGGAAGAGTCAGTAGACTGTGGAGGGAACCAGCATGTGAACACATAAACAATGAGAATGAGATAAGATTGGGGTTAACAGAGATCTGATCTGGGGGTGCTGTTAATGCAGCACGAAATGCAGGCCCAGACCATGTATGTCTTGTCACTGCTGAAGCCCTAAGCTGTAGTATTGTGTCTGATACACAGTTGGAAGTCCATGACTACTCACTGAATTAATCAGTGAATAGACCAATAAATAAAAGATTAAAGCACAGTGGGATCAGGGAGGAATGGGTGGACTGAGGAAGGGCTCCCGAAACCTTCAAGGAAGAATCTACCAGTGAAAGAGGGACATCATAGAGAATTAAAAGTGAGGAAAAAACAACTGTGTCTTCAGAAGCCTAGAAATGAGAAGCAGCAGGACTTGGCAGAACTGTAGATATGAGTGTGGCTGGAGGGGAGTGGCTGGAGGGAGGCCTGCAAAGTGCACTGGGACCCTGTCATGGATGACACTTGGGAGTCACAGAAAGAATCAGGAGAGTGACGGGGCTGGGTTTGCACTTGGGAAAGAGGTTTCCGGCTGCAGCAGGGGCTGGGGAGCAGTGGACTGATGGGGAAATCTAGAAGGAGGCAGAGGCTTGGGTCTCCATCCCAGGGCAGCTAGCTGGGCCTTGAGCCGCTCATGACAGATCCTCCTGGGATTCCCTACCCCTGCCCTTTACCTAGGCAAAACACCCCCTGCAGGAGCCTGGCAGGCCTCTGCTTCTGGAGGAAGAGTATGAAATGGGCAAGGGCTGGGGCAAGAAGCTTGTTATTCTGAGCCTCCAGGCTTACTGAGTCCTTGGGTGAAGTGGTAGAAGAAATGTCATCCAACCCCTATTCCCATTCTCTCTACATCAGATCTTCTTCCAGAATTTTCATGAAGTGCCTGCAAAGTTCTTTGACGAGACCATCTTAATCCAGGTGAGGAGCCAAACAATATGGGTCCATTTTCTTGTCCCACCTCAATCCTCGGAAGGACTTCAGCTCCCCGCCCCCACCCTTGGAGCCAGTCACTTCAGATGGTCCTTCTGACCCCAAGACACAACCTCCACCACCTTCGTCACTCCCTGGCAGCCCAGACTTCCCACAATCACTTAACAAATGTTATAGAATACCACTAGACCCTGAGCTGGGCCCCGAGGTGAATAGCCCCTTCCCATGTGCCAGGATTCTCATGTCACCAAAGGACCCCTCAAATGTTCCCTCAACATGGGACATTCCATTCCCTATCAGAAGGAACTCGGTAACAGTGGTGAATGTGTGGTTACCAAATGCCTCCTATGTGCCCAGCACAGGGCTAAGGGGAGCAAGGAGGTCTCTCCCTTGAAGAGTGTACATGTTCTTGGGAACACCGGAACATGGGAAATGATCAAGACAGCGTGCAATGGAGAAAGTCGAGTGCAACAGTTTTCTCTGGGCTGATCTTTGGGTTGACCAAGTGGATTGGACCCTCTGATCAATTTCCTCATCAGTAAAATGGAACTAAAATTCTGAACCTTATAGGGTACCTCTGAGAATTAGATGAGAAGAACTATGTGGAAGTGTGGGCCATTAGGAAACATTATATAAATTCTAGAGGGCCATTAGGAAGCATTAAATACATTCCAAATGTGCCCTTACAATCCCTCCCATGGGGATGGGGGAAATGAGGGATGTGAATAACAAATCTTTCTGGGAACCCCTCTGCAGGTGATGAATTCCACACTAATGAGATTCAACGCAGAGATCGGGAGATTCCAAGTGAGCTCTGAATGAAGGAGGAGGTTTGGTGAAACAATTAACAGAGACTCACCATGGGTTCCATGCCTGAGTCTAGGGGCAAAAACTTGGATTTTCCTGCAGAAATATCCAGATTTAAATCTACCCAAGTTATTCAGAATCTCTTTCTCATATATACAATGGGAATAATGACATACTCAACCCACAGAGTTGTTGTAAGGATAAAAGTGTGTTCCATTTATGAAAGAGCTGGGTGCCATGTTGAATACAATGGACACATTTCAAACCTCTGCCTCCAGGAAATGGAAGCAGAAGGTCCAAAAATGCCAACCTAAGAAACACAGAGAAAATTGCTGTCTATGAGAACAGAAAGAAAGGTTTGCTTTGGAAAGACACAGGCTGGGAGATAAGGAAAGCTGACACTTATGAAGGGCTAAATAAGATTCTTCAAATCCAGGAAGATCAGGAAAAGGTAGGGTTGCCAGATTAAATACAGGATGTCCCATTACATTTGAATCTTAAACAACAGGTACTTTTTAAATACAAGTATGTCCTAAATAATTGCATGGCTCCTGACGAATACTCCGGGGGACATATGTATACTAAAAATGTAGTCATTGTTTATCTGCAGTTCTAACTTAAGTGGGCATCTATTTTTATTTGCTAAATCTGGCAACCCCTGGGAAAGTCTTCCGTGTTGAGAAAGGTATATTTAGGACAAATCAAAGTAAGGTTTCTTTCTCACTACTTGTAATAAGCACATGAAGAGTCATGACCTGTCCCTCAAAGAAGCAACATGGGCTTCGAAATGAGAGATTCTGGAGAGGTTATATGGCAGGTGGTAAAAAATGTTGTGCTTTCGGCAAAGACCATCGCACAATTTCCAGACAAGGACTAATGATAATGAACTGTTAAATAATTTATAGACATGAGAGAAAACTGAGCCTTTTTTAAAAAAAAAAATTTTTTTGGCGGGGTGGGGGAGCCTGGGTGGCTCAGTGGGTTAAGCATCCAACTTCAGCTCAGGTCACGATCTCACAGTTTGTGAGTTTGAGCCCCATGTTGGGCTGTGTGCTGACAGCTCAGAGCCTGGAGCCTGCTCTGGATTCTGTGTTTCCCTCTTTCTCTGCCCCTCCCCTGATTATGCTCTGTCTCTCTCTCTCTGTCTCTCTCTCTCTCTGTCTCTCAAAAATAAACATTAAATTTTTTTTTAATACATAAATGTTTATTTATTATTGAAAGAATGCAAGCCTGGGAGGGGCAGAGAGAAGGGGACAGAGGATCTGAAGTGGGCTCTATGCTGAAAGCAGCCAGCCCAAGCCCTATGCAAGCCTGATGCAGAGCTTGGGCTCACAAACCGTGAGATCATGACGTGAGCTGACGTCAGACACTCGACTAACCGAGCCACCCAGGCGCCCCAATGAGTCTTTTTCCTTAAATTACTTCTTTGAAAAATTTCAAACATACACAAAAGCAGAGAGAATAGTATCATGAGTTCCCACATCCCAATCACTCAACTTCACTAATTCATTGCCAGTGATGTATTGTCTACCCCTGGCCTACCTCCCCACCCACTGGATTATTTTGAATCAAATCTAAGACATCATATTTTTAAACATTTCAGTTAATATTTCTATACATAAATATCTTATTAAGCATAAACAAATGTAATTATCACATTTTAAAACCTTTATAATTCCTGGATAGCATTAAATACTAATCAGTGTTCAAATTCCCCTAATTATCTTATGAATTCCTTTTATGTTTTGTTCAAGTCAGGATCCAAACCAGGTGTGTACTCTGCAGTTGGTTAAAATGTATTTTTAGGTCTCTGTGATTCTGTTGGTCCCGCTCCCTTTTTCTCCTTGTAATTTGTTAAAGAAAGTGGATAGTTTGTCCTGTAGAGTTTTCCTCTAGTCTGGATTTTGCTGACCGCATCTCTGAAGGATCATTTCACATACCTCTCTGCCCAGGTGTTTGCTGTCTAGAGGCTCGCTAGATTTGGGTCCATTATCTGGCAAAATGACTTCAGCAGAAGGCACAGAATGTATGTTGGTCTCTCTTTTTATGTCGTTAACAGCCACTGATTATCACTGCCTGGATCTATTGCTTCATTAGGGGTGCCTGAGTTTTTCTTTGTTTTCTTCCAGCTTTATTGAGGTATAATTGACATACAATGAATTGCACATATTTTAAAATGTATCGTTTGAAACGATCATCACAATCAAAATAATGAACATATCTATCACATCTATCACCCCCAAAAGTTTCCTTGTGCTCCTTTGTAATTCTTCCTTCTCACCCCCATCCCACCCACTCCCATCCCCAGGCAGCCACTGGTCTGCTTTCTAGAACTATAACTTGGTTTGCATTTCCTCAAATTTTATATAAATAGGATAATACAGCATGTATTCTTTTTTGTTTGGCTTCTTTCACTGGCATATTTATTTTGAGATTCATACATTTTGTTGCATGTGTTAATAATCATTCCTCTTTATTGCTGAGTAGTATTCCACTGTGATTCTAACTTACACTTCCCCAGTGACTCGTGATGTTGAGTACCTTTTCATGTGCTTATTTGTCACCTATATATTTTCTTTGTTGAAGTGTCCAGATCTTTTGCTCATTTTCATTGGGTCACTTTCTTACTGCTGAGTTTTGAGGCTTTCTTATATATTTGGGATACAAGTCCTTTTATCAGATATATGACTTGGAAATATTTTCTCCCAGTATATGATCTGTCTTTCCATTTTCTTAAGTGTCTTTCAAAGAGCAGAAGTTTTACATTTCAGTGGAGTCCACCTCATCAAATTTTTCTTTTATGGATTGTGCTTTTCTTGTTGTAGCTAAAAAAATCTTTGCCTACCTAACCCAAAGGGGTAACTGAGTTTTTTTTTTTTTTTTTAATGTTTATTTTGTTTTGAGACAGAGACAGAGACAGAGTGAGTTGGGGGAGGGACAGGGAGAGAGGGAGACACTGAATCTGAAGCAGGCTCCAGGCTCTGAGCTGTCAGCACGGAGCCCAATGTGGGGCTCAAATTTTTGAACCGGGAGATCATGACCTGAGCCGAAGTCAGATGCTCAACCGACTGAGCTACCCAGACACTCCAAAAGGGTAACTGGGTTTTAAAGCAGGCCTAACATGAAGAATTTGGGGACTACTCTATGGAACCTTCAGATGTGGGATACAAGGGTGACCTGAATATTTCGCGGTGCCTTGCCACCCGCCACCTTCAATCCTGTACCACAACCCTCAGGCCTTGGTCAGAAACCCTCTCCCAGGGGAAAGGGAAAGCCCATAGTCTCTTTGCCAGCTCCTCCCTTAACCATCCTCTTCCCCAGGATGGGAGACACCTTTCTCAATCCAGAAACAGGGAAGAGTCAATGCTGTGTTGGCCAGGCAGTGCTATGTGGTGGTTAAGGATCCTTTCAATCCAGATCTCCTTGTGTAATTACTAGTTGTAAGACTTTAGGCCCTTTTCTCACACTAAGTACCCTCCTCTGCAGAGTGGAGTTAATAATGGACCAACTTCTAGGTTGTTGTAAAGAGTAAAGGAGTTAGGGCAAGGCAAGTTCTCAAGCATTAGTGGCTAATACTGTCAGTACAGTACTATTGTTCGTTAGTGTTGAAAATCTTGAGTAACTAATCCTTACTCTACTCTTGTCTTTCCAGACAGATATTGGTTTTATCTACCGTTCTGCAGGTAGGTAACAGTTGTTGCAAATACGTGTGCCTTCTGAGAAAAAGCAGATCAGTTGTCCAAACATCTCAAAATTCCTGTATGTTCAACACATGGGGGGAGAGTATTAGAGGGTATGAATTATTTTCTGTATTTGATAATATTTATAATCATAAGATCTTTCTCTGTAAAACTTCAAAGCATCCCTTTGGATCAAATGCTAACCTTTTATTGCAACCTGGAATTGAATTTCTATTTTTTGAGGCCAGTATTGGGGGACTGATGTTTGAGTAGAGGTTTCCACTGTAACCATCACACACAACCTGGCCACAACATACATACCAGGTTGAGGTTTGGACTTAGGGTTGGGGAAAATGCTTGCCTCTCTCAGACCAGGATACTAACAACTGTAGGTTCCTAGGATGGGAGAGAGGGGTCTCTGTTTCCTAAAGGCAATGACTGGTAGCCTGGGAGTATACTAGCTTTGCCCAGTGGTAGAAGTGACTCCCATTTCCTCTGCTACTGTATGGGAACCAGAATTTAGGAGACACACTTCCACACCCCTCTCCTGGTTTCAGGGAAGAAGGATGGAGACTGAAGGCCAGTCTCCCATGGGCCCTCTGCCCCTCCAGGTCACACACTCCTGAGGAAATGGTTAGGCCTCTGCCAGCCAAATGAACCCAGCAATGGTGTGAGAGGCTACCTGAAAGTCACCATTTGTGTCCTCAGTGTGGGAGACCAGGCTCCGGTGAGGCTTCCCTAGACACCCCAATAACATTTCCTACTGTAGCTGCTTCTGTAGGGCACCCCTGGGCCCTCAGTGTGGCCATTGATCTTCACCTGCTTTAATTCGTACACTGTGTCACTCGAGGATTGTCCATCCCTCCCCTATACCAAGTGGAATGTTGGGGAAGCCAAATCTGGTGGCCATGGCCACGGCCATCCTATGACTCTGACCCTATCAGGTCTGGTCTCTACAGGTAGATCAAAAGCTGCCCTATGGGACTGATGACACCAGCACTCAGATCTTCAAGTCGACGGTGGTCCCGGTCAACTTGGCCTACTTACATTTCTTCATCTACTGCGCGGAGGACCTTCATCACAGTTAGAGTCAGGGTAGCGGGGAGGGAGTGACCCTGGAGGTTCCCTACACAGTGGCGACCTGGATTCTCCTGGGGCTTCCCTGTTCCATTTTGATGCTAACCTAAGATTTAGGTGGAGAGGAACAGGTGAGACTGAAATCCACCAAAATTTGTTTTATGAAGGCCCTACAGATACCCTTTAAAATCGGCCATATGCCCCTGACTGTCTTCGATGCCCAGAGGCAGACTCACAGTTCCCTATGCTAGCACCCATCCCTGCTGCCCATTATGTGGCATGACACATAACAGCACATAGAGATAGAGTGGAAATGGGAGAGGTCTGCCTAGGGGGCACCATGCCAATTGATGGCATAGGGTTTCAAGTGGTTCTATCACCTCTCCATTTCCTCCCCTTAAAAAAAATACTTCTGTCTCATAAATCTTGTAACTCTTGTTCACAGAGAAACAGCACTTAGTGAGTCCTGTGTTGGAGGTGGAACTAATTGGGGGAAAGGTAAGTGTAGAAAGGGTCTGAGGTTTAGAGAAATTGTCACCTAGATGGTGTATGGGGAAAGATGGAGTTGGTGGGCAGGAGCCCAGGATTAGTATCTAAGTTCCTCCATCAATGGGCTGTGACTGATCACTGGACCAGGAAGTCTTTGAAGGTGGAGGCCATGGATTAGTCACCCTGTATCCCAGAGCTGTGCTCAGTGCCCTGCATGGAGAAAATGCCCAGTGAAAGCCAAATATACACAAAGGGCACAAATGAGTGAATGAGTGAATGAAACAACATGCCCACAGACAACACTGAAACTGTCACTGTCTTCTTTGGGCCTTGGTTTCTTCATCTATAAATGGAAGGTTCTAGGCCAGAGAGTTGCTGACATTCCATGATCCTCTGTAAATAGAGAGTAGCATTTTCCAAAGTGTGCTAATGGATGTTATGTGCAAAAAAAGGATCCTATGTTCAAATTTGGGGAATGCTGGGTTAAGGTTAAAGAGGTTTGTCTCTTTAAATTCATAAACCATAGAATTCATAAACCCTGGTTTCTACCATATTCTACCTATTAAAAGTGTCATTAAATCCAGCCCATACATAAAAGGAGGGAAATCAGTGTCTACCTTTCAAAGGAAGATATACCAAAGGATTTGTGGACATATTTTAAAACTACCACACTGAGTGGGGTTTGGGTGCTCTGGTCTAGGGAGATGCTCTTGGGTGATAGGTGGCACACAATTTTCAAAAACTTTAGTATCTCTGTGGTTTTCTTAGTGTGTATTTTTTTTAATGTTTATTGTTGAGCGAGAGAGAGAGCACATGCACGTGCAAGGGGGGTGGTAAAGAGAGATGGGGACAGAGGATCTGAAGCAGGCTCCAGGCTCCAGACTCCACACTGACAGCAGAGAGCCCAATGTGGGGCTCCAACTCCCCAGCTACAAGATCGTGACTTGAGCCAAAGTCAGACACTTAGCCAAGTAAGCTACCCAGGCGCCCTGATTTCTTAGTGCGTATTAAAAAGTTCAATCAGTCCAACCAACTTTTGATTTCACCAACATGATTGCTTAGAATAGAGCCAGGTTTAAAAATGAAGTCAAGTAGGGGTGCCTGGTGGCTCCGTCAGTTAAGCATCTGACTCTTGATCTCAGCTCAGGTCTTGATGTCCAGGTCATGAGTTCGGGCACCCTATTTGGCCCTGTGTTGGGTGTGAAGCCTACTTAAAAAAAATGAAGTCAAGTGATGCTTTGGAAAAGGGTATTACATTGTGTACTGCCACTGTCGACATGGTTTTTGTTCACTTTTCTATTGGGATCTTAGAGTTTATCTAACAAAATCTATGTGTATGCATTCATATAAGAAAGTTAGTAATGCTATGACTATTTAAAAGCAAAGTCAATTGAGGGGCACTTGGGTGGCTCAGTTGGTTAAGCATCCAACTTCGGCTCAGGTCATGATCTTGCATTTCATGAGTTCAAGCCCCGCATCGGGCTCTGTGCTGACAGGTCAGAGCCTGGAGCCTGCTTCGGATTCTGTGTCTCCCCCTCTCTCTGCCCCTCCCCCTGCTTGTGCTCTCTCTCTGTCGCTCAAAAAATGAATAAATGTTAAAAAAATTTTTTTTAAATAAAAACAAAGTCAATTGAAAGATGATTGAAGGGCAAATATTAGGGAATCTGGAGATGGGAAGATATACAAAGGACTGAAGTTGTAGCTGAGAAGTTGTCAAAGTGTCTTTAGACCATTCCCGTGATCAGCCCTGTGCTGGAGAAAGCATCCATCTGTGGGCTGGGCTGGAAGGGCTGGAAGCTGAGGCCAGTGGAGGAAGGAGGGCACAGGCTGGCACTGACACTGCTGTGGAATGTTTCTAGCTCAAGACAAATGTGCTGACCCAAACCGAGAACCCAATATGGAACCAGATCCTGACCTTCCGGATTCAGGTAGATATCGCTGTTCCATCTTGACCACTCTCCTCCTCATGGCCCACAAACGAAAGAAAGTTTGGGTGTTTGTGTAGGGGTGTGGATAGAAGGTAGGAGCCAAGAAGCATGGGGTGGATGGGGGGCAGGATCTGCCTGATGGGGAACATGAAGAAGGACATGTTACAGAAAATTTATTTTATTTGTCCAGTGTTAAGAAATGAATGGGCCATACAACTGAACTTTCCAGAAAACTTAAAATGCCCTTTCACATACATTACAAAACAAACCCAAAAAATCATTTAAAATCAATTTAAAGACTTATTCTAAATTGCATTGTGCATTTTCTTATCATCTAGGCAAAGTGCCCTGAAGATAATTATAGCTCTTTGTTAATGGCCTAGAGGTATTGTGGGAACATAGTTAGTATATGGGCTACATGTAGTATGGGCTATTTGTGCCTACACTAAATGGCTCCAAGATGCTCTTTGTGGGATTCTGTAGTCTGATTTTTATAGTTTTTCAGTCCTTCTTAGTCACCTATCAGTGGTGTAGATGCCAGTTCTCTTAAAGCCTGGGAGAGCCTTGTTTGCCTTCGACTTCATGCCAGGCTTCTAAGAGCTGCATGTAGAATAAGAATACGCAATTCTGAAAGATAACTTGAGCACTGTCAAAAGGATGAGTGCATAGAACTTTGTGTGGCTTCTATTTGGCTACCCAGAGAGTATTTTGCTTTCCTTATACCTTACATTTGTGTGACACAAAATCACTAATGAGCTCCCCTCTACTTTCCTGGCACCCTCTTCCTTGCTTCTCCTAGAAGCTTCCTTAGTCTGCCTCCTGTAAGGCATCATCTTTAACCATTCTTCATAATCTCTACCTTCCTGGGTGATTTTATAGACTCTTAAAGTAGGAAGAGATTTTATTTATTTTGAGAGAGAGAGAGTGCGCACGTGCGCGCGTGCGCACACACACACACACACACACACACACACACACACGTGAGCAGGGGAGGGGCAGAGAGTGAGGGAGAGAGAGAATCCCAAGTAGGCTCTGTTCTGTCAGCATAGAGCTGGAGGCAGGGCTTGATCCTTGAACTGTGAGATCATGACCTGAGTCAAAACCGAGTCGAATACTCAACCAACTGAGCCACCTCCTACTGGTGCCCCAGTAGGAAGAGATTTTAAAGGGAGCCTAGTCTATCCCCCACCTTTGATCCCTCCCACCTGTCTCTGGCTGTGATGAGGTTCGTGGCCAGATGCTCAGAGTCTTGAAAGTCTTCCCTCGTGTCCAGCTGCCTTTAGGCTCAGAAACCAGTGGCACAGGCCAGGCCTTCCTTCATCCCTGAAAGAGACCTTCCAACGTTTAAAGATGTCCATACACTTCCTGGCCCCTCACGCGTTTCCCACGAAACACAGTCTCCTAGGCTGGAGCCATTTGGATGCAGGCCTGATTGTCACTAGCCCTGTAGAAATGCAGCAGGCAGGTGTGAGCCTCGCTCTGAATGGCAGGATGGCCACAGATATGGTAGCATCTGAGGCCAGTTGGTCAGGGCCCCAGCAAGGCAGGCTGCAGGGGAAACTCCACTAAAAATGGGTGTTAGCCAGTTCACAGTCCAAGTGCCCCAGGACAGAAGGGCAGTCAAGACAAGGAACTGGGAAAGGGGAAGAGAATTCTCAACAGGGTAGATGAAAAGATGGTTCAGCCATGAGTTTGAATTTGGAGGATTTGTAATTTTGGAAGACCTGGATGTCTTACAGTGCCCATCTCTCAACTTCCAGTGGGCCTTTCCTCATTTCTTCCTAGATACTTGCTCAACTGGAAAGCCCTTTCCCTACTTCCCCCCTTGCCCCCAGCTTCCCTGGCAAGGAGAGAATGGACAGCCCCAGGAGCTGCTATGAGGGGAAAGGGCCCGACTGAGAGGACCTGAGTCCCACTCCGATCTCAAGCCCAGCAGCTGTTTTCCATATGGGTTGGTTTTTTTGTTTTCGTAATTGAGGGGACCCTATGGCAGAGGAGATAAGACCCAGAAGCTTGGGTTCCCATCTGACTGCACTTCTTACTGGGTGACCATGAGCAAGTCCTTCTGCTTCTCTGGGCCTCATTTCCCATCTGTAATTAGGAACAATCACAGTCCTCACTGGGTTATGGCAGAGTCATTAGGACCTCTAAATCTGCTTCAGCCCCTGCATATAACTTGAGAACTTCAGGAACTCAGTTGCTCTGTGCCTCAATTTTCCTGTCTGGAAATGGGAATAATAGCACCTGGCTTATGGGATTGTTGGGAGGAGTCACTCAGGTGATCCATGTGGATCATTTAGCACAGGCCACAGGACAACAGAAACCCTCCCCACAACAGCAGCTACTACTATTTACTCTCTGAGGAGATAGATGTCTTGCTGTTTAAAAGTTAACTGCTAATGGTGAAGAATGCATTTTAGGCCACAACCTCCATGCAAGACAGACTGAGCCCTGCATTGGGCTGTGCTGACAGCACGCAATCTGCTTGGGATTCTCTCTCTCTTTCTCTCTCTGCCCTTCCCCTGCTCATGCTCTCTCATGTGCTCTCTCTTTCTCAAAATAAATAAGTAAACTTAAAAAAAAAGAATAATAATACCAAAGCAACCATGGGACACACTCCTAGGCCTCTCCCAGATCCTTTCAAGGGGCCCATGCAAGTGGGGAGTCCACAGCCACAGGCTTATATGTCCCCATGGTAAATTCATTTTGGCTGTGGTGACATGGCTTACTGATGATTGAGCCAGGCCTTGACCCCAGACCCAGAACTTCCCAGCTGCACTCAGTCTCCTTGAGGACCAGACCACTCGAACATGCACCCACTGCTGTTCTCGCTTTCCTCTTGCAGCTGCCCTGTCTCTCCAGCTACATCAAGTTCAGAGTCTTGGACTGGTGAGCCGCTGGGTAGAGGCTGAAAAACAAGTACGGGAGGAGAAAATCTGAGCTGGGCCAGCAGCTCAACCTGCAGACTATGTTTCTCTCCAGCCCCAAGAACAGGTGCCAGGATGAGATAGGGACTGTCAGTCTGTTCCTCAACCAAATCTCATCCACCGGAGCAGAAATAGAAGGCAAGCGATCCCCCAGGCCCCTACCTCCTGCCTTTCTCCCACCTGGCCCTGTCGCCCTCACCCTTTCTTCTTGCAGGAATGTATTCTGGCTTCCTACCCTGTTTTGGCCCCAGCTTCCTGACTCTTCATGGGGGTAAAAAGGCCCCTTTCAGGATCCAGGAAGAAGACATTGTAAGCCTCTCATGACAGCTCTAGGGAACAGTGGAGGTAAAAACCAACCATTTGAAAGGTGCTGGGGCCTGGGATGTGACTGGGGAGGGCCCGGCCCTGGTTTCTGTCCATTAGGCTATTAGAGGACATGTAATCTATGTGTAAATGACTATGTGTATATGGGACGTGTGTTGTGTCACAAGAAAGGAACAGATGGAGAGCTCTGGGCATTCACTGAGGAAGGGTCATTGAGATGAAACGTCAGGTAAGATTTCCAGCAGGTGGAAAGGACATAGAAGACTAAAACGGCATAAGTAAACGTGGAAAGTACTGGGCTATTAAAGATTGGTGATAAATGCCAGGAGGCCAAGTCCAAGTGGCTTAAAGGAAGGGAACAGGGCTGGGAAGAATTCTTGAGTGAGGATGAGCTGCAGGCACCAAGACCTCAATGCCATTAAGAGGCTAGCTCATTCATTCCATCTCTTGTCTCAGCTGCTCGTCAACCTGTGGCCTTCATCCTTTCCTACTTCAGTCAAGCCTCCCTGCTGGCCAGTGGCCATCCAGGACTCTGATAGGGAAGGCCAGGGGAGCATTCTAATTAGCTGCCTTAGGTCATGTGTACCCTCCTTGGACCAATCACTGTTGCTAAGAAGGCGGGGCATGCCCTGATTTGCCAGGCTGGAAGCACAAACCCAGTAGTTATCACAGCCTCCTCCAAGCTGGAAGCATTTGCTGGGAATCGGTACTTTGATTTGATCAGCAGGTAAAATGCACGAAGAGGAGGAGTGGGCCTCAGTACAGAAGAGGGGTCGGGCCCAGAGGTTTCTGGGCACAGCCATGTCTGGGGTGTCTGGAATTCTGCTCCTAGATTGTGGTCATCCCTAGGCAGGAAGTTACTAGGCAATAGTGTCTTTGCTGCAAAGGTGTCAGGAGAAATTTGCTCTTTTTTTCACATCCCTTTTGTCATTGTTTCCCTTCCTGTTGCCCTAGAATATTCCCAATGCTGTTAAGGATGGCTTAGCTTATCGAGGCCGGATCTTCCTGGAGTTATTCACCAACCTCAGTCCTCATCAAGACGTTAAGAAGGATCTCTCCTCTGAAGTAACCAATATAGAGGTAACTACAGGAAAAGGTAACTCGGGAGTAAAGAGTCCCTCTGCCCACCCCAAATCTACTGCGGGTCCTGTTCCTGGCACTGCAGAGGCCCTGGCCACAAGCTGAATGACCTGTTGGGTACATGAGGATGTTTGGTCAACCCACCTGACTCTTTATCAAGCCCCTATGGGGACTTCATGCTGCGTCAGGCACCCAGTAAATACAAGATGAGGTTTTGGTTTAAGAAATGTGTAATCTAGTTAAGGAGAAATTATGTTCTAAGGAGTTTTTATTTCTTCCTGAAGGCTGGGGAAGACCACTGATGCAGGAAGGGGCAGGAGGAGCAGTGTTAAGAATAACCACCCACTTATTCAAAAAAAAAAATGGGAATACGGTCACAGGGAAGGAGAGCCTGAGAGGAGGGAGCAAGTTCCAGAGACCTTTTGGACACAGAATGATCCGAGCCACAGACTAACAAGAAATAAGAAATGAGGCCAACTGCCCTAAGCTGATGCCCATTTTCTGCCTCAGGTGGCAAGGTGGTCAGGGGTGGCATGCACCAACATGGACTCCCTGAAGGAGAAGCAGGCCTGGGGGGTGGACGATGTAATCCCATCTTTGACATGTGCTTGTGAGACATCCATGAAGACCAGTCCCCGAGGCTGCTAGACAGATGGTGTGTCGTCAGCACACCGGGATCTGAACACAGGGTTGTGGAGGAACTGCCTGGGAGGAGTGGGCTGGTGAAAGAGTGCCACAGCCTAAGGCAGGTTGAGGAAGAGGAGGGGCTTGCAGAAGAGACTTAGGAGGAGTCTGCAAAGGAGAGCACTGAGGCAGCCCCCTGAAGAGAGAGTTGCCAGACTGCATGCGTGTGAGGGAGAAACTGCATGCAGACTGTGCATACAGGCAAGTGCATCGAAACTTGGCCGGAAAATAGAAGGAGACAAGATCAGGTGGTAGCTAAATAGAGGCTCAGAAGTGAGGAGGGTTATTTTTTATGACAGGGGAGACCAGCTAGTGAACAGACTGGGTGAGTGCAAGAAGAGGGCAGGGGTTGGCCACAGAAATAAGAGCAGCTGACATGGTAGATGGAGGACCTCGAGCATATGTGGGAGGAGGCGGTTAGAGAAGGGCTTAGAGCAGATGTGTGTGTGTATGTCACCTTCATCACACCCCTGCCCACACTCATTCCATCAGGGGAGGGCGTTTAGGCAAAATGGGATGGGATGAGGTGGCCCAAGTCAGAGCCTAGTCTGGCCCTCTCTGCCTCAGAGGGAGAAGCCTCCTTTTCAGGAAGGAAAGGAACCACAGCTGACTGGGAGGAGGGGGCCAGGTGATAGAGGTCCTGGGAGGAACTGCCCTTGAGCGGGAGTCAAAGCAGGATTTGAAGGGGGCGGGGTTTCAAAGATGGTCACCAGTTCACCCTGAAGAGAAGCAAAGATGACTTTGAAAGAAACAGGGCACCTCATCTTTGCCTCCCTGCGTATCTGTGTAGCCTTGGCTTATGTACTGGGGATGTGGGGGTTCTTGTTTTAGAAGCACCACAACCGCCAAAAGTATGGGCTGTGCGTCATCTTCCTTTCCTGTACCATGATGCCCAACTTTAAGGACCTGATCCAATTCGAGGTCAGCATTGGCCACTATGGGAACAAGACAGACCTGAGTTACAAGCCTCTCGTCTCAACCACACAGTACAGCCCAGTGATATATGATGGTAATAGTCAGATCCAACCAAAGAATAGAGAGCATCCACTGCATGCCAGGCTTGTGCTTGGTCCTTTTAAGGGTATTAGCTCATGGAACATTCATAGGTATTGTTAACCCACATGTCACACATGAGGAAAATGAGCTTCAGGGAGGTGAAGTCACCTGCCAAACATTGCACAGCTAGCAGGCAGTGAGCCCATGACAGGAGTTGAAAGTAGGTGTTCGCGTCAAGTCCTTCTCTACAGTAAGTTCCACACTACAACTTTGCCAACCCCATATTCTTCCCTACTACTCTGAACCACCCCTGATCCATCCATGCAACTATCTTCTGCTACTTGTCTTCCCACCTTCTATCCATCCATTAATCCACTCATCCACCCTTTCATCCATTATCTCCCACCCATCCACTGTCCCAAACAGCCGGCCTCCCTTCCATCCATTCATCCATTCATCCAATATATACTTATTAAACACCTATACCGGACACGATAGAGTAGCAGTTCTCAAAGTGCAGTCCCTGGGCCAGGCATCAGCATCCCCTTGGAACTTTTAGAAATGCAGATTCTTGGCCCCACCTCAGTTCTACAGAATCAGAAAATCTGGGGATGATCCCCTGCGATCTGTGTTTTGACAAGCCCTTCACGTGATTCAGATGCATGCTAGAGTTTGAGAGCCACTGTTCTAGAGGAATACTGCCTCCCCTTCCACTTCAACAGCTTTGCAGTCTCATTGCCCATTGAGAGCCTTTCTGTGCTTAAAAAAACTTCCCTGGTTTTTTAAGAACAGCTTATTGAAATAGAATTCACACACCATACAATTCATCCACGTATAGTATGCAATTCAGTTGTTCTTAGTGTATTCACGGAATTGGGCAACCATCTCGTTGATTCTAGAACATTTTCATCATTCCAGAAAGAAACCCTGTACTCACTAGCAGTCACTCACTATTTCTCCCCTATGTCCCCAAACTCAGGCAACCACTAATCTACTTTCCGTCTCTATGAGTTTCCTATTCTGGACATTTTACCATACACATGGATTCACAATATGTAGTCCTTGGAGTCTGGCTTCTTTCACTTAGCATAATGTTCTACTTATTTTTAAATTATGATGTATACAAAAGTATAGTAAATGTATGTATACAATTTAAAGAAAAATAAAATGAGTACCCCTGAACTCACTACCCAGCTTAAAAGATAGAAAATTGCCAGCACTTAGAAGTTCCCTGTATGCTCTTCCCACATCCATTTACCCACAAAATAAGCACAGTCCTGACCCTCATGATAATCACTCCCTTACTCTACTTTTCAATTTTTACCACCTATGTAGGCAACTCTAAACAGCATACTATTTTTGCATTTTGTTCGAGTGGAATTTTGCAGTCTACATTCATCTATTTTCCATCTTTTGCTCCATATTAATTTTTTTCATGTTGGTGTGTGTAGCTGAAGTTCATTTTTCACTTCTGTATATGTTCTACTGTATGATTATAACACTAATTATGTGGTATATGTAGACATTTGGGATGTGTCTTCTTTTCCTACTATAATAATTTTGTTATAAACATTCTTGTACATGTCTCCTGGTCTCAAGTGCAAGACTTCCTCTAAATTATATACCCTGGAGTGAAAGAGAGATTCAAAGCAAAAGTAATTATACCAAATTACACTCTCATCAGCATGATATGAGAATTCCTATTACTCCACTTTCTCACCAGTATTTGATGTTGCCCAGCCTTTTCATTTTTGCCAATCTGATGGATGTAAAATGGTATCTTATAAGATCTTGATTTGCATTTTCCTAATTATTAATGGAGTATGAGTGCCTTTTCATGTGTTTACAAACATTTGTTTTTCTCATCTGTAAAAAGCCTATTAATATGTCTTATCCATTATTCTATTAGGCTTGTCTTTTTCTTATTGACTTTACATTATATTTTCTGGGAACGATCCTTTGTCAATGGGTGTATTGGAAGTATCCTCCCTAAGCTTGGGGCTTTTCATTCTCTTAATGATGATTTTCTATTTGTTTAATTGAGATATTATTTGCAAACTATAAAATGCACATATTTTAAGTATACAATTTGATGCATTTTGACAAATACATATACCTATGTAACCACCATGGGCAGAAAGTTCCATCACTCCAGAAAGCTGCCATATGCCCCTTTTCAGTCAATCTCCCCAACCCCTGGGGGCAGTCACTGCTGTGCTATCACTATATATTTGTTTTGCTTTTCCTACAACTTCATATATGTGAAATCATACATACAGTTCTCTTTCTATGACTTCTTTGGCTCAGCATAGTATTATAAGTATTCATCCTACATCTATTCACATAGACAAGTGTTTTGTTCCTTTTTATTTCTGATAGGTACCCATAATGACCGTTTATTTCCCCATCCCCCTGTTTGTGGACATTTAGATTGATTCAACTTTTGGAGTATTATGAATAAAGCCACTATGAACAGTCCTATACAAGTCTCTCTATGAACATGTGCTTGCATTTTTCTTGGCTACATACCTACAAATGGAATTTGGGGTGTTTTTAAAAAAAATTTTTTTTACATTCATTTTATTTTTGAGAGACAGAAAGAGACAGCATGAGCAGGGGAGGGGCAGAGAGAGAGAGGGAGACACAGAATCCGAAGCAAGCTCCAGGCTGCAACCTGTCAGCACAGAGCCTGATATGGGGCTCGAACCCACGAACCGTGAGATCATGATCTGAGCCGAAGTCGGACACTTAACCAACTGAGCCACCCAGGTACCCCTGGAATTTGGGTTTTAAAGAGAATAACAATCTTCCAAACTGTTTGTATTATTTTACATACCCACAGCAGTATTTGAGAGTTGTACTTGCCCCCCATCCTTGCCAACTTTTGATACTGATGACCTTTTACATTTGAGTCATTCTAGAGGGTGTGATGTACATAATGGTAATTTTAATTTCCATTTCTCCAATCAGTAGCAATAGTGAGTGTCTTTTCATGCTCACCTATATTTCTGTAGTGAAGGCACTGTTCAAATCTTTTGCCAGTCTTTCACTGGTTGTTTGGCTTTTTACATTGCATTCCAATAATTCTTTTGTATTTTGGATACAAGTCCTTCGTCAGGTCTGTTTTGCTAATACTTTCCACTCTGTGGCTTGACTTTTCAATTTCCAAGCAGTGTCTTTTGAAGATAAAAAGTTTCTAATTTTGGTGAAGCAAATACATTCTAATTTTGAGGGGCACCTGGCTGGCTCAGTCAGAAGAGCATGCAACCCTTGATCTCAGGTTCATGAGTTCAAGGCCCAGGTTGGGTGTAGAGATCATAAATAAATAAATAAATAAATAAATAAATAAATAAATAAATAAAGTGAGATTATCTATTCTTTTAAGTAATATACTATTTGGTCCAAGAAATACTGTCTACCTCAAGATCATGAGTATTCGGGGCGCCTGGGTGGCACAGTCGGTTGAGCGTCCGACTTCAGCCAGGTCACGATCTCGCGGTCCGTGAGTTCGAGCCCCGCGTCGGGCTCTGGGCTGATGGCTCAGAGCCTGGAGCCTGTTTCTGATTCTGTGTCTCCCTCTCTCTCTGCCCCTCCCCCGTTCATGCTCTGTCTCTCTCTGTCCCAAAAATAAATAAAAACGTGGAAAAAAAAAATTAAAAAAAAAAAAAAAGATCATGAGTATTCTCCTGTGTTTCATTCTACAAGCTTTATAATTTTAGCTTCTTTATTTAGGTTTATGATCTAACCTGACTTGATTTTTGTATATGGTGTGAGGTCAGGTTCTTATTTCTATAAAGATAACCAATTCAGTAACATTTGCTGGGAAAAAAAACTATTAATTCCCACTTACAATTACTCTGACACCTTTGTTGAAAATTGATTAACCATATGTTGTGGGTCTCTTTCTAGAATCATTGTTCTGTTCCATTGATCTGTCTTTATGCTGATACCACACTGTTTTGATTACTATAGCTCTAAAGCAAGTCTTGAAATCAGTTTGTGTAAGTCTTCCAACTTTGTTATTCTTTTACAAAATAATGCAATTTCTGGCTATTCTGGTTCCTTTCCATTTTCATGTAAACTTTAGCATCAGCTTGACAATTTCTACAAAAAGCCTGCTGGAATTTTCCTATCTTCTTTTGTTCTAATCAAGTGTTTTTTATTTGTTTAGTTTTGGGTTTTTTTTTAGTATTATGCTCTATCTCCTCTCTGGCTATATATCTCTGGATTATTTGTAGCAGTTGGTCAAGAGATTGCAATATTGATCTTTAATCTATCATCATCTACCTTGAGTTAATATTATAACTACTTCACATATTTTATATAGTCACATATAACTGTTATATATAAAATAAAATGCAATCATAATAGTATAATTGTATTTTCACCTTTGTTATTCATTCTAGAGTTGGTTTGCTAATATTTTGTTTAGGATTCTTGCATCTATATGAATAAGATTGATCTTTCTTGTAATTTTCTTTCTTGTAGTGTCCTTTGTTCGGTTTTTATATCAAAGTTATGCTAGCCTCATGAAATTGAGTAGCATTTCCTCTTTTTACTCACTAGGAGCATTTGGGTAAGACTGTAATTATCTGTTTCTTGAAAGTTTGATAGAACTCACCTCTAAATATAAGCCTAGTGTTTTTTTCTAATTGATTGATTTAAATACAGATTTATTTTAATTATTCAGCTTTTCTATTTCTTTTTAAGTCAATTTGGTAGGTTTAATTTATCTAGGAGTTTATAAATTCCCTTCATGTAAGTTTTCAAAATTTTCAGCATAAAATTATTCATAGTATCTTTAAAGAATTTTTTTTATTTTGACAAAATACACATAACATAAAATGTACCATTTTAACCATCTTTAAATGTACAGTTCAGTGGAATTAAGTACATTCACAATGTTGTGTCACTATCACCTCTATTTCTAGAACTCTTTCATCATCACAAACAGAAACTCTACCCTTTAGACAATAAATCCCCTTGTCCTCCTCCCCACAGCTCCTGGTAGCC